AGGGAATGTAGAGGAGATGAGGAAATACGCTTTACTTTGCCAATTCTCAGGAATGTAGGTGCATGCCGTCCTTCTTGAACGGTATACCTTTCTTTAAGGGTTGTGGATTTGAACAGACAATAATGGGCTTCCTGCCAGGATGTTCACAGGCTCTCCTGGCCTTTAGCACGTTCTCGGGTTCTGAAGGACCCTCTTGGGTACCCAGCTCGGTTCCTCACCTTGGTCACCCATAATTACTGTTTTGCAGATTTTCCACATTGTGCCTCTTTCTGGCTTTCTCACACGAGGCTGACTCTGATTAAGACGCATCATGTGCAGAAAAGGACAAACAGGGTAATGAGCTTGGGATTGTTAACTCTGGTGAGCCCAAGAACAGGGATGGGAATTCTAAAGACCTAATTCTAATCTCATCTCTACTTTCTGATTGGGTAACTGGTTTTTGGCAAGTTACTTGATCTCTCTAAAGATCACAGAGATTCTTTTATGAGGAACATCAGCTACGATTTCGCTGGCCCATTGTGGATACTTGCAAGCCTACGAAGCTCAGTGCTCTGATCAAGTGCATGGGATGAAGAAAACCGGGCAACATTCCTGGTCAGGGCAGTTACCCATACCATAGCTCAGAAGCATCGTTACGCCATTCACTCTCTCCTTCCTTCACCTTAATGTCTTCAGCACATGCTGACCCAGTGTCTACCGAGTGGCAGGAAGAGCCAGGCCATGGTCAGCGGCAATGCTTGTGCCGAGGTGGTGGGGGGAGGAGGGAGAGGTGGAGGCATAACAGGCCCCTTGTTTAAGCAGGGAGAAGCAGAACACGCGGATTCCTTTCATTAGTAATTCAATAAACCTGTTACTTTAAAAAATCGCTTGAAAACTTAGAGGTGATGGACACAAATTAAATTTAAATAAGACGTGTAATTATAAATTCTAAAGAAGATAAAAGCAAACACACCACTGTACAGAGAAAAAGAAGAGGGCAGAGGAATAGGGTACCTTGCTCTAACTGTATTTCAGACAGAAACAGTCCTAATGGTTACACTTGGAAGGATGGCCATGGAGTCATCAGGCAATAAAAACAAAGAGGAAGTAGGAATGGGAATACTCATTTTAGGAAATTGCAATCCTAGACAAAAAGTGTTAAAGGAGACACAGGCACCATTTTAAGATGACAACAGGTGTAAGGATTGACAACAAAAGTGCGATGATGTGAGCCTCCGTGTGCTGAATGGCAGAGCCTCAGAGCCTATGAAGCAAAATACGTCAATAGCAAAATAAAAATTCACAGAAAGAGTTTTCATCTGAGAAATTTTGGTCAGTCAAGATATAAATAAGGATATATTGGGCCAGGCATGGTGGCTCACACCTGTAATCCCAGAACTTTGAGAAGCAGAGGTGAGAGACCAGCCCGGGCAACTTGGCAAGACCTCATCTCCACAATAAATCAAAAAATTAGCTGGGCATGGCAGCGCATGCCTGTAATTCCAGTTACTTGGAAGGCTGATGTGGAAGGATCACTTGAGCCCAGCAGGTCGATGCTATGGTGGCCATGAACAATGTGTCACTGCATTCCAGCCTGGGTGATAAAGTGAGACTCCAGCCAAAAAAAAAAGGATACATTGATTTGGAGTAACAATGGATTCTTCTACTTGTAAACAATCATATATTATAAATGTACATATATGTACACCCTACTGTCCACAGAGAAACATATATGTAAAATCATAAACTATCTATAAAAATATGTAGGTATAAATATCCTTTTGAAGTGCCCATTGAAAAATTAATAGAAGTATGATATAATAAAAGTATGGTATAAACAAGTCCACGAAGCAAACCTCAACATTCCCAAAGAATAAAAGTTGAACAAAGTCACATTCTGACTCAAATTAGACACCAGTAGAATTAGACACCAACTTAAAATTTGAAAACAATACATAGGCTGGGCTTGGTGGCTCAGCCTGTAATCCCAGCACTTTGAGAGGCCAAGGCGAGTGGATTGCCTGAGCCCGCAGGTTCGAGACTAGCCTGGGCAATTTGGTGAGACCTCATCTTTACAATAAATAAAAAAAATTAACTGGGCATGGTAGCACACATCTGTAGTTCCAGCTACTTGGAAGGCTGAAGTGGAAGGATCACCTGAGACCAGCAGGTCAATGCTGGGGTGGCAGTGAGCATGCCACTGCACCCCAGCCTGGGCAAGGAAGTGAGACTCCAACTCAAAAAAAAAGAAAAGAAAAGAAAACAACACATAAATATGAAAAAGTGGAAAAGTCTACCAAACACTTATTGTTTCAAAAGGATATACGATGATAATAATAATAATTATTATTATTATTATTTAGAACAAAAGCAAATGAGGATACATAAAAGTTATGGAATGATGCCAAAACTATGCTCAAAGGCAAATGAATAGACTTATGTGATTCCATTATTTTAAAAAAGGAATAAATAAAAACAAAATCAAGAAGTTTTATTTTTAAAAAATCTAAGAATAACAGAAAGAAGCAGATCTAAGAGAATTCTTTTCAGAAATTGTGTTAAAGGGTGAAAAGAAAAATTAAGTTTACAATAGCAAAGGAAGTATAGCTACACATGTGCTGAATAATTTTAAAATCATAATAGAACAGCATGCACTCTACTAAGTAACAAATTTGGAAATCTTTATGAAAAGAATAGCTTTCTGCAAAGTTATGAATACCCCCAAAATTACCAAGTAAAATGTGTTGAGCATATTCTACCGATAATCTAGGAAGACATTGAAAGTGTTATAAGAGATTTAACTACAAAGAAAAATCATCTGTATAAAATACCAGGAAGTAGATCATCTCAATGATAAAAGAAATTTTCCAGAGGTTTTAGAAGAAGGGAAGCTTCTCAGTTTATATCACAATGACAACATTGAGGAGGCAACAGTTGAGGAAGACAATATGCTGCACTGGGTTTTGTATTCTGGCTGCTGAGTCTTGCTATGGGGCTAAGTCCCGGCAGGAAACACTCATAAGTGACACCTTTGAGTCAATGAGAGGGCGGAGTCACTGGGGTCAGCTGAAAAGAGTGTGACCCTCCCTAGAGCAGTCATGTCTGCACCAGAGGAGGAGCCGGGGAGGAAGTATCCAGCCTCGCCTGCTGCCCTCCATGCTGGACTCAAGTGCAGTTCACCACCAAACTCCACCGAAGCCAGAGGGCAAAGAGACCTGATGGTACATGCAGCCCATGAATCAGTTTCAGGGGAAGGGCAGGGAGAGAAGGTGGAAAAGGAGTCTGGAGAAGACCTGGTCAACTCTCCCCAAATGGGACTCTGTTTGTAGGACTGGAAAGACTAGTCTCAACCTGGGTTCATCACTCTCAAGGAAAGAATTTAGGAATCCAGCCTAGGTAGGCTTTCTGTTTCCATTCCTAGTGTCATTTATGATACATACTGGTAAAAATAAATGTGATAAATAAATGTTATTGGTCTTAAATATAAAGGCCCTTATTATAACGTCAGGAACAAACAGAAAATACAAAAAGTGATTTTTTTTTTTTTTGGGTTGGAGTCTCACTCTGTCACCAAGACTGGA